AAGATGAAGCTGGAGCTATGGCGCCACAGGTAAGTCTCCCTGGCCTCCGCCAGCCATCTCCCTCTCTCACCTCCTCTACCTCTACTAGCGCCCCAACGCTGAAGACTACTGCTACTGCTACTAACGCCCAGCGCTGAAGATTACTGCTAGCGCTAAGCTACTCCTGCAGCGCTCCTCCAGAGTGCTGCTGCCGAATCCTGAAGACTACTACTGCCTCAGCCTCTGACTGCCCGTGAAGTGCATGGGAACTCCCTATGTAGTACGTCGGCCTGCCTCCTGACTGCCTGCAGCTGCAGGGCGGGGCAGTCCAGGAGGCTGCTCTTGCCAATACCGAGGTGAGCCAGGGCCTGCCGCTGCAGCTCCTGCTGAGGCTGGCGTGGGAACATGCCAAAAATAGCCTGTTCCGGAAACCCTGGTTTGGTGCCTGAGTGTTAGGGCAGGTCGATCTTATGAGGGCCCGAAAGTGGCCCTCCGTTTCAGGCTGAAAAGACTCAGGGCCTGGAAGGTCCTGTTTTAGGCTGAAATGACATAGGGCCTGCAGGCCCTCGTTTTTCAGTCTTTCAGGCTGAAACGACACGGGGCCTCTAAGCCCTTGTTTCTAGGCTTTTAGGCTGAGACTGCGGGACAGGCCCTGCAGGCCCGTGTGGCTGCGCAGTATGCCACAACCCCCCTCCGTGAAAGACCGAGCTTACCTGCGAGGGCGAAGCTGTCTGTCTGAGGGAGGGACCACAGTCCGGGTGGGAGGGGCAGGTCGTGAAGTTCCCTGAGCTAACCTTTGTCGCTTGTAGTGAGCGTAGATCAGCGGTGCAGATGCTTTCAAATTTGTTCCTGAAATCCAGCGAGTGTCGTCGGGATCGCATGCTTTGAATGTAACTGTGTACTGTCGAGGCTTGCTGCCGTACTTGCGATCCGTTATGACGCGGTCAACCTCCTGATGACCATTCATAGATGGAGGATCTTGCGATCTTCGGCCCGGGAAGTCGTCGCTCTTGGCTGGTGTGTATGTTGCCAGCTTCGAGGTGTGAAAGACTGGATGGACCGTCAGATGTGGGGGAATGTTGATCACAAATGAGGGGCCATCGGGCTCATCGCCCGCGGCTGATGTTATAGGCCATGGTCCAAAGCACTTGGGAAACAGTTTGCGTGAAACATCCTGTTCGAGTGCAAACTCTTCCGCGGAGACCCACACCAGATCACCGGCGCGGATGGGACATGGCACGCGATGCCTGTTGGCTTGCTGCTTTATGCGGACTTGAGCCTTTTGCATGTTCGCTCGGGCTTGAGCCAGCAATTCCCTGTACTTCCGAACGGAAGCGGGGGAGCAAGCAGCGTCTATGTCGGCTGTTCGTGGGAGGAGAAGATCAGCGAAGATACGGCCTTTCCGGCCACCGTGGTGCAACTCGAATGGAGTTACGCCGATCGTCGGATGCAACGAAGTGTTGTAGGCGAACTCGATGTCGGGGAGGCGGTCAACCCAATCCTTCTGATCCGAACGGATGAGCGTACGAAGCATCATTTGAGCGGTTTGATGTGTCCGCTCTGTTTGTCGGTCCGTTTGTGGATGCCGAGCCGAACTTGGTTTCATCTTCGTGCCGGATTCCTGCATGAGAGAAGTCCAAAATGCCGACATGAAGTGAGTGTCGCGGTCGCTGACGATGTCTTCCGGCACGCCATGACTGCAAATCCAGCTGGTGTGTAGGTGGCGAGCAAGTTCGGGAGCCGTGGCGTAGTACTTGCAAGGAAGAAATCGCGCATACTTACTCAAACGGTCAACGACCGTGAGGATGTCGTCCTGCACGAGCCGGTCGTGGGGAAACGGACCGGTGACGTCCATGGCAATGGAGAGGCCGGGTTTCTGTGGGATAGGCATCGGGCGCAACTCGCCATAGGGATTGCGGTTGCGGGGCTTGCTTCGTCGGCAAACTTCGCAAGAGTCGCAATACCGAGTGACTTTGGTAATGAGGTCAGACCATCGGAATCGTTGCCCAAGCCGTGCAATAGTGCGATTGACTCCAAAATGGCCGGCGCGTTGCGAGTCATGGTACTCACCGAGAAGGCGAGTCCGAAGACGACGGTCGCGTGGGGGACACAATAAGTCCTTGCCTCTCGAGTGGAGGAGCAAGTACCCGTCAACGATGTGATAATGGCTGGCCGGCGGGTGATCCGAAGATAGCTGCGCATATAACGTGGCGAAATCCGGATCGGACTCATAACCCCGGATGAAGTGTCGTTGGAGTTCCTCATCAAATGCGAAGGCATGATGTGTCATAGCGCAAAAATCGGGTCTTCGCGAGAATGCATCTGCTGCGCGATTGGAGAGGCCAGGGAGATGTTTTGGTGTGAAGTCAAATTGGTCGATGAAGTACATCCATCGTCCGATCGTGCTGCTCACCGTATCCTGCGTCTTGTAGTAGGTCAATTGGTTGTTGTCCGTGACCTATGTGAACCTACGACGCCCAAGGAGGAAGTGTCGCCATCGCTTGAGAGCCATCACGAACGCGAGCAACTCCTTCCTTGCATCATCCAGTGAATTGATGGGAGGCACTTTGTGGTTGAAATACTCCACATGGTGCCAGTCGTCGCCGTCATGTTGTTCCAAGACTGCCCCAATGCCATAGCCGGAGGCATCGATTGTCACTCTCGTTGACAGTGTGGGGTCATAGATGCTCAGGACGGGTGCCATGAGCATGGTCGTCTCGAGTGCTTGGAATGACCGGCGTGCGTCGTCATCTAATACGAATGGCACCTTTGGCGATTGTAATCTCATCATAGGTGCGGCAATCCTTGAGTACCTGGTGATGAAGCGTTGATAGTAGCCTACCAACCCCATGAATGAATGAACGTTCGTGGTGTTGGTGGGCCCGGGCCATACGCAGATGGCCTCGATCTTGTCCGCAAGCGGACGGATGCCTTGCGGCGTCACATAATGTCCCAAGTACTCCAGCTCTTGCCGCGCGAATTCGCATTTGTCGCGGTTGGCTTTGTACTTGGCTTGTCGTAGCCGCTCCAAAATGGTGTGCAGGTGCTCCACATGCTCGTCCAAACTCCGGTTGTACACCAAGATATCGTCGAGGTAGATGAGTACGAATCTATCCAGCATGTGTCAGAACTCTGTTGTCATAGCCGCTTGGAATGTGGTCGGGGCATATGTAAGGCCAAAAGGCATAACCAGCCATTCGAAATGCCCATATCGCGTCTTAAACGCGGTCTTGTAGCGGTCCTCCTGTCGGATCTCGAGTTGGTGATATCGCGATTTGAGGTCAAGCTTGGAGAAGAACTTGGCGCCGCCCAGTCGTTCGAGGAGGTCGTCGATGCGCGGAAGAGGGCCGGCGTTCTTGACGGTTTGCGCGTTGAGCTTGTGATAATCGATGCACAACTGCAGCTCCTTGTTCTTCTTCCGAACGAAGAGAACGGGAGCACCGTATGGCGAAGAGCTAGGTCGAATTCAGCCTTTCTCGAGAAGATCGTCGAGTTGTGCCCTTAGCACACTTAACTCTTCCTCGCTCATGCGATAGACGCAACCACGCGGAGGTATGGCCCCGTCCTCGAGGATGATCTCGTGGTGGATGGGCCGATCCGGTACTACTCCGTGCGGTGTTTCGAACACGTCGCTGTAGGTGTCGAGAAGCTCGGTGATGCGTGGGTCCGGTGGTGAGTCCGTTGATGGAATGCCTTGGGGCGGGAGGGCGTGGAGAAAACACACCCCCATCTCCTCGATGTCATCGTGGATGATGGAAGCTCGAATGCTTGCGGTGGACACCACGTGGCAGCTCATCGAAGGGTGAGGAGGAGGCACCGTGCATGGGACTAGTACTCCGTTCCGATCACGAATGTGAACGGTGCGGCGGTAGAAGTTCACTGGGTGATCCTCGCTTCGCAACCATGACATGCCCAAGATCATGTCGAACTTGGTGTCCAAAATATCGAAGGACAACCTCGCTTGCATGCGGGGCAAAGTACACGGGGACGACATCAATGCACCGGTTGACTGACTTGTGCTTGTGGCCGTCGGCCAACGTGACTGGGCTGCGACTTCCTCCGAACGCGTGGCCCAAGGCCAGCGCGTACTTCGCAATGTAGGCATGAAGGTCGACAACCTCTACTCCGGCGTCCATCAACGGAGTTGATACTGCAGTGTGCAAGTAATCTCGCAATTGTGCCATGAGCACGTTGCAATGCGGTTTCGGCCATCGACCGGACCGGGGAAGGGGCATCCATTGGAAGTCCCCAAACGTCAACGGGTCAAGCTCTTCAAGTCTTGACCATGTCGTCGAATCCTCGGCGATAGATGACGGCGAAGTTGCCGAATTGGTTGCCGATGGTAGTGAAACCGTGCATGCGGTGGATTGTTGCGCGTGGAGTGGTTGGTCCAACGGTGGGACCAAGTGGACAGCATAATCCTCGTAAGTGAACCGAGGACTTGCGACATTCGCATCCTCCCCAGATGTGTAGGAGGCCGCTAGCAAGGCGGCCGAATCTGGCGGAGTGAGAGTTGGAGTCGCCTCACCTCCCGCGCAATTCAGTTTCCCGAGTTGATGCGAGGCCGAACATCCTCCTTGCCTTGATCCGGGCATTGGGAGGTCTTGTGCTTGGTGTTGTTGCACCAATAGCAGCAGCCATACCGGCCACGCCACTTAAATTCGGCCTCGGTCAAGTGAAACTTGACCCAAGGTGTTGGCTGTCCGTTTTCGGCCGGCGATGCGGTTTTCGCCTTCCCTTTTCCTCGGGAGTTGTTGTTGCTTCGCGGCTGGACAACAGCCACCTGATCTCCCTCACGTGATGCTTGGGTGGCTGCTGGGTCTTCCACAATGTTGTCCGAGTGGACTGCAACGACATGCTGCGGACGCGGACCAAATTTTCGTTTCTCCACATAGGTTGGCTGCCACGCCGACTTCTCGTGTGCAGCCGCCCTTTTGGTCTTGGTGATCTCCCTTGCCTTGTCGATGATTTCGACGAAGGTCGCGCATTGCTCTCAATCACCAAGTGCAAGGCTCAAGGCGGCACATGACCGGTTGTAGAACTCTCGGAGCAGATGCGAAAATTACAATTTGAGATCGGGCGTCGCTGCGATCTTTTGCCATTCCGTGAGCCAGTCGCGTGTCGGTGTGTTGCCTTGCGTCATCGCGAAGAGGCGGTTGATGGCGAGCGCCGGGGCGTCGTCCACGATGAACCGCTTCTTCCATAGCTTCGTCGGATCTTCCCAAGGAATCTTCGTGTGCAGATCGGCGACGTCGACGCCGTAGATGGTTGCCAGGTGGCTAAGCCAGATCTGGCATCCGCCCTTTGAGTTGAGGAACAACGTGCCGATGTACGAGCGCTCGGGGACGAAAAGAATCCAAAGTTCCGTCGTAAAGCCTTCCCACCAGGGGACTGGGGCTTGATGCGTATAATCATCGAACTTTTCGATGCGGAATGTCGACATCTTGTAGTGCTGCGCGGTGTTGCCATCCTTGTTGGGCAGCTGGTGCAGTTGCTGAACCTCGGTCTTCAAGGTGTCCAACTGCTTGCTGATGGTGGCTGGTGCAGCGAAGGTGCTGATGTCGCCGAGCATTGCAACGACGTGGTCAACTCGTTCCTCCAATTGGCGGGTAGAGGGTGCACTGCTGGACTCGCCAGCATCTGGTCTTGGTCCAGATTGCTCCAAGTCCTGTACATGGGAATCAAGTGCCCGTGTAGCATCCTCGTGCAGATCCTTGTGGTTTCGCATCGCCCGTCGGAGATTTGCCAGCTCGGACTGCAGGTGGTTACAAGTGTAAACCAACCGGGTCACGAGTTTGGCCAGAAACTCCTTGTGCTGCTCTTCCAGTGTCGCGTCGTCGTGCTGCTCAGATGGTTCAAAATGCCAAAACTTGAGCTTTTCGATGCTGGTGGCTTCATGCCGCTGTAACAGATGCTGGGCCTCCTTGCGGCGTGCCTGGGTATCTGCTTCAGCTTCGGCTTGAAGCCGCCGCTTTTCAACTGTTGCCGCCGCTTCAGCTTGTAGGCGGGCAGCCTCGGCTGCCGCCTGACGCTGTTCCTCAGCCTCAATCAGTGCAAGCTGAGCTTCGAAATGCTGTCGGTACTCTGCAATGGACTCATTGGCCAGTTGGCCTGGCATGGCCAGAACTGAGCCCATCATGGTGCCGGGGCACTGCTGACGTGGTACTGCAGACGTGGCACTGTTGCTGATGTGGCACTGCTGATGTGGCACTGCTGATGTGGCACTGCTGACGTGTTACGTGGCACTGTACCAACCCGGGAATGCATGCAAAGGGGTGGGTGGGAGGGAAAACGCAGGTAGGTAACCAACCCAGCTATACTTTCCTCCCGGTCCTAATCAACAGACTAAAGTAAATAAAAAAATAAAAGAAGAGGATCACCCCCCCTTTTTTTTTTTTGTATATCTGTCGATCTGCTATGAGTGAGGTATGTCAAAAGAGTACTATGAGCGAGATCTAGGCCAGGTTCCGCAAAGTTTCGGCTTTCACAAAAATACGATCTTGAAATTTCTTTTTGCGAAATAGAGTAGAGATGTGATTTTCAGAAAAGAACTAAATCCAGTTTCTGAGAATATGGCAACCTCCTAATATGCCTAAATTTGGCCCTAAAACGAATTGCTGGTAGGCTTTGCAAGATTTCGGTTTTCAAAAAAAAAAATTGCGAGATAGAATGGAGATTCGATTTTCAGAAAAGAATAAATCCGGTTTCCAAGAATATGACCACCTCTATCGTTATCCTAATATGCCTAGAAAACGAAATGTTAACATCAGAAATTTTCGGTTATGTATGCGAATATCAGAGAAACGAAATGCTACTATCAGGAATTTTCAGATAAAACGAAATGCGATTATCAGAAATTTTCAGATATTTGTTGCGTGAAAACGAARTACTAATATCAGAAATTTTCAGGTAAAACGAAATGCGATTATCAGAAATTTTCAGATATTTGTTGCGAGAAAAAAAATTCAGAGATTTGACGAAGTCCTACTTGATTTACTAACGAGTATCAATAGATCAAACAAGCTGGCTATTTGATTGAGCGGGTCCTCTGAATGAGTGGTCCGCTCCGATAGCAAACTGTTGCATACTGTAACGGTGCAGACCAGAACAAGAACCAACCTCTTTCACAAAGTTCAAGATAGCGTAGCGGAAGACTTAGATACCAATGATCCGAATTGCAATGCAGCCCCGAACATACATCATCATCATCACTCCATGGTGTGAAGGGGCCTGGCGCTCACACAGGAAGAATGCGCCAGTCCCCAACCATACACAGACGAAGAAGAGGGGGGTTAGATGAAGAAGAGGGGAAGATGGGAATGCCGTCAACACCAAGTCTTCGGCACAGGCCCAAATAGTCCCTCGTCAAAATGTCGGAATCCCAATGTCGAGT